GGGCTGACGTGAATACTACATTAAGCAATAGCTAGACTTAATGAAACAGAGTGACCTTTTGTTGCATAGTCAGACATCTTTAGCAATAATTAGCTCTTATCACCTTTATTCTACCTCTTTAGCAAGTTTCTTTAAAGATATATCAAGATTCAAGAAGGGTAACTAATTGCTGATCTATAAAGCACGTAGTACACTTGTTTTTCCCTCTACTTTCAATCCATCATGTGGGTTTGCCCTCAGGAAAGGGAAGTGGCATAAATATACATAGAGTGTAGAAGCATGAGGTACACCTTGTTTGGTATACTCTTGATGAGTAGTTTTTTATCTATAGAGTATATTGCTTATACTTTCCATAGAATCATAGAAAAGGAGGGTTGGAAGGGATCGCCAGAGATCATCTAGTCCAACTCCCCACTAGAGGCAGGGTCATCCCTATCCAAACTTATCTTACCTAAATTCAGTGTGTAACCTCTTAGTAAAACTACATAGTCAACCCTGCCACAACCACAAGGCATAACACCCTAACCTGCCACAGCAGGAAACAACAGCAATTAACATCCTGCTGTTGTGAAGATTGTTAAAATGTTTTTGAGAAATCCAAGGAAGAAGGCCATGCCCCATGCTACAGAGTAGGGCAACTTCTCCGCACCCCCCTTCCCCCCCCCGCCCCCAGTCAGTATCAATCTGACCATGGGATAACATAGCTTCCTGACCTCAAATATGGTGATTAGTCTGACCCTGAGTGGAGGGGCAAGACCCTCTAGCAAGGAACCTCTAGCTTTAAGTCCTAGTAGTAGCACTGACAGACCCTAGTCAAAATCCGCAGCCTTGGCTATAGCCAACCAACCCCTGATGCCTCTGAGGAAGATCCCCTCCCCACTTTCGCCCCCCACACACCTTATACCCCCCTTCACCCACACACACCTTATACATGCAGCAGCAAGAGAAAAAAATCCTTCCCGATTCCATATGGCAACCAGCAAAATCCAGAAGCATGGGAAATATCCATAGTAGAACATAAGCATAGCTATGCCTTGATCATCCCCAGCCATTGCTTGTCTACCACCTTCATGAGGACCTCCAATGATAGGGATTCCACAATTTCCCTAGGCAGTTTGCATTAACCATGAATGAGTTTTCTGAATACCCATTCTAAACCTACTTTGCTGCAAGTTCAAGCCATTGATCTGTCTCCTGTTCTCTACACTAAGACAAAAGGTGTTGTTTGTCCCTCTTCTTTCTGCCAGTCATACAGATACTAGAAGACTGCTATCGTGTCCTCTCAAGCACCTTTTACGCAAAGTTAACATGCCTAGTTCCTTCATCCTGTCCTCGCATGACTTGCCTTCCAAGCCCATTATCATTTTTGTTGCCCGTCTCTAGACTCTCTCTGACTTCTCCATGTCCTTATAATGTGGAGCCTAAAACTGCACATAGTACTCTAGATCAGGGGTTTCCAAACTGGTACTTGTACCCCAGAGGTACACAAGACATCTCTGGGGGGTATGTGGGAGAAATTGTGTAATTGTGGATTGAATTTTCATTATAACAATTGGCATTTTAGGGATTTAAAATATAAAATGTATGCTGGTAGGGGTACATGGGCAGCTGGTAAATCTGGAAGGGGGTACGCAATAAGCAAAAGTTTAGGAACCTCTGCTCTAGATAAAGCCTAACCAGTGCTGAGTAGAGGCACTATTGCCTTTCATGTCTTGCAGCTAATGCTTCTGTTGATGCATTCCAAAACTGCATTTGCCTTTTAAGCAGCTACATCACGCTGCAGACATGTACTGAATCTGTGATCCACTAAGACTCCCAGATCCTTCTCTGTAGTGGTGCCATCCAGCCAGGTTCCACCCATTTTGTATTTATCTTTTTGATGATTCTTTCTGAGGTATAGTACCTTCTATTTACCAGCACTGAACTTCATCCTGTAAGTTCCAACCCAGCTTTCCAGTCTATCAGGATCTTACTGAATTGTGCTCTTGTCCCCCAAGGTTTGGAATAGACTGCCGCCGGAGGTGGTTCAAGCACCTACTTTGAATGCCTTCAAGAGACCTTTGGATGTCTATCTTGCTGGGATCCTGTGACCCCTGCTGACTTCCTGCCCTTTGGGCAGGGGGCTGGACTCGATGATCTTCCGAGGTCCCTTCTAGCCCTAATGTCTATGAATATCCACAATCCTTCCCATTTTCATTTTGTGGCATATATCCTGAAGAAGCTCTCTGTCCAGCATCCAGATTATCAATAAATACATTGAGCAGCACTGGGCCCAGAACAGACTCCTGTGTGACTCCACTCAACCTTCTGCTATTCAGACATGGATCAATTTATAATTACCCTTTGCTAGCAGTTACTAAACTAGTTGTTTATCCCCCTTGTAGTAGGCTTGTCTAGCTCACCCTTCTCCAATCTATATGCGAGACAGTCATGTGGGGTCTTGTCAAAAGCCTTGCTGCAGTCCAGATAGACTGAATCCATTATGTACCCTTCATCCACCCAGCTAGTTTTCTTGTCAGAAGAAGATCAAGTTTGTTTGACACAACTTGTTCTTAGCAAATCCATGCTGGCTGCTTGTGGTTAACTTTTCCTCCAGATGCTTGCAAATGGATTTCCCTATTATATGATCCAGTAACACCCTGAGAATTGAGGTACGAGGCTAACCTTTTTGTAGTTCCCTGGGTCCTCCTTTTTGCCTTTTCAAATAAGGGCACTACATTGGCCCTTTTCCATTCCTCTTGTACCTTGCCCATCTCCCATGACTTCATGAAGATCGTTGCCAAGGACTTGGAGATCTCCACCCATGCCAGTTTCTTCAGTACCTGGAATGAAGCTATCAGACCCTGCTGATTTTTTTAAAATTAATTCAAACACATCGAAAGCTCCCTGTTTCCCTTATCTCATCCCTCAGCTTGTCCCCTTCATTATTGAAATAAACCTTATTGGGTGTCTGGTTACAGCTTAACTTTTTTGTGAAGATTGAGGCAAAGTACCTGTTGAGTAGCTCTGCCTTCTTTGCATCTTCTCTTAACAGCACATTCTGACTACTTAACAGTGGACCTACAGCTTCCTTCGTTTTTTCTTTTCTGAGCAACATGATTACAGAAGCTTTTCTAATCATCATTAACATCCCTGGCCAGGTGTAGTGCACTTTTTTCTTCTGCCTTCCTGATTTTTGTCCCTGTAGGTTCTTCCTTTTTATGGCATGCTTCCTTGGTCACCCACCCATCTTTCATTGCCTTCTTGCTTTTCTTTTGCATTGGAGGCATCCTGGAAGCTCCTTTTGAAGCTGCATTGATCTCTTACCATTCTTTTGCTTCCATCATGTCAGAACAGTTTCTTGTTGGTTTTCCAATACTATGCCCTTTAGAAGCTTCCAGCTCTCCTGGGTGCCTTTATCCTTTAGTTCTCATCCCATGGCACCATGCCTATCATCTCCTTGAATAGGTTGAAATTGGCTTTTTTGAAATCTAGTGTCTTAGGGTGCAGGAAGAAGGGCGGCTTCCAGCTGTAACTCAGAATGATTTGTGCAAAGCGTTCTGAGTTACAATGTTACCCTGGACCAAACAGAAGTTCACTGTTGGTTCCAGGGGGGAGAGGAATCTAACTTCTGGCAGCAGCCTGCAGTCAGGTTCCCATAGCAATGGCCAGGCTTTCTGCCAGTGCTCATTCTTTTCAGAACGGGAGGGGGAAAGGCAGTGGAGGGGTCTCCAGCTAGTGCTGAAGGGTGGAGTGGCTGAATAGCGCCCCCACCTTGGGGCAGGGAGGAGGGGCACTCCAATACACCTGCTCCACCCTCTAGGGGGGACTAAAAAGAACCCAGACTGAACTCCCTCCACTCCTTTTCCCCCCTCCCATCCTGAAAACAGCAACAGACTGGGGGGCAGCGCTGACACAAGTTACAGAAGATGCTACATTTTGAAATGTCTTTATTTGATACCTCATGCAGTGAGGGTTCAGATTTTTAACCAATTGGCTGTTTTTTGAAGCTGTCTGCTGCTGTGCACTTATGTTTGGTCACAGCTATAAACTGCTTTCTGTGTCCATATCGGGTGAAAATTGTTGCTTCTGTCTTCTGCTGATCTCATGCTTTCTCTGGCACAGGATTATGAATTCTGTCATTAATTCCTCCCACATTTCCCATCCCCTTCACAGCCTCTACCATTTCTTCCCTGTTTGTCAGGACAAGATCCAAGATAGATGATCCTCCAGTTATATCTTTAGTTTACCAGCCAGTCTCACAAATGTGATTTTGTTTCTTCACAATTAATTGGCAATGTACATTGTGTAAGAATGGTGAATTCTGTATTATAGGTTGACTGCTTCTGGGGCTTGCCTAAAGTGTGCCTTTTCACAGAAGCAATAAAGCTATTCTGTCAGATGATCCACTTCCAGATTTACCTGTTAGGAAATTGGTGCTGTTTTCTCATTAATGTAAAAACCTAATATTTGTGCTTTCTTTTCAGTTTATCAGGGAAGATATGAAATATAAGGATGCAACTAATAAACACAGTCATCTGCATAGAGAAGACAAACATATCACGGTTGAGGATCTGTGGAAACGCTGGAAAACCTCTGAAGGTAGGTAAAGTTTTCAAGATCCATGCCATGGTTTTCAGGTGGCCTAACCATAAAACAAAAAAAAAACCAAAAAAAAACAAGTAAAGTTGATCTTGGAAAAATAGTGCAAATATTGGCGTCAAATGACTAGCGGTACTTTGTGGTACCTTTTGTTTACTGGTTAACCTGTATACTTTTTGTTAAATTCTGCTAGTTATGACCCTCATTGTGGACTCTGGTTTATGTAAATGAAACCAGAGAGTTCTAATGTAAGTAAATACTTCAGGCAATTTGTACTAGCTTTATTGCATCGTCTATATGTGACTTTCATTGTAAAACTTGGTCTGAGCTTTAAATTAGTCATCTTAAATGGTTTAAACTTTTGTGACCCATTTCCTAATATGGGAAGACGCACGTATTCTCTTTTTGTTTTTTTTTCAATATAATTGGTTTGTGATGTAAAGAACTAACTTAGTGTTTTAAAGTTTCTCTCCATTGAGAGATCAGAGGCCTGGGAGACGAGCCTTATTAATAAAGGCTAAAGAACTAGGGTTACTTAATCTTAAGAAGAGAATGTTGAGAGTGGATTTGATAAACCTTATTTATTAAAGAGAGGGTGAAAAAAGAGTATTCTCTGTGGCTATAGCGGACTGGGCTAGAAGCAACATCCTCAAGCTGCAGCAGAGGGAATTTTAGGTTGGAGATTAGGTGGAAATTTCTGTTATGAGTGTGGTCAAGCATTGGAACAGGCTATGTAGAGAAGTTGTGGAATCTCCATTCTTAGAAATTTTCAAGATCTGGTTAGACAGACAATAGGCTGGGGTGATTTAGCTAAGGATGCTCCTGCCTTGAACAGGGGACTGGACTAGATGACCTTGTGGGGTCTCTCCCAGCCTTACTCTGATGTGATTCTGAGAAATGGCTTTTTTTTTTTTTCTCAAGACTTGAGTAAAAAGATAGATATTTTAGATCAATAAGCAGTCAAGAGCAATACGCAAGCGTTATGCTATTAGCATTGAAGTGTATTTATGCACGTGTGTACACACACATCGTAAGACATTGCAGCCTTCCATAATTCCCGATTTTTTTTTTTTTTTTTTTTTTTAATTTAAATTTGACTGTAAAAGCTACTTCAGATTTTTCCTCATCTTTATGCTCTTCCTGAAGAAAAATAGTTGTTTTTCTTAAGTGTCCATATCCAAACAGTCAGGTATGTAACCTTAACTGGTTTTCTTGGATTTGTACTTTGTGATAAATGTAACATCTTAATTTGTTTTGCCCTTAATTATTTATATTGCACTCAGTATTAACTGTGTGTGCCTCTGTGTACATGCACATACCCTGTCATAATTAATGCTGCCACTGCTTTCCTGTCGCTGAATTTTTGGACCTATTTGGAGCTCCTCAAACTGGATGCCATGGCCCTGTGAGATGGATTGGGCTAGTCTGAGGCCCCAGACCCAATGCACAGAGTTGGTTTGTAGCCTTGGACATGTCATGCAGCCCACAGGGGCAGTTTGCAAGTCAGATGTGGCACACAGAGGCAGTTTGTGGGCCTTATTCAGGGCATACACTGGAGAGGTTGAGCATTGCTGCTGTAGGGTCCCTGTCAACATGGGTGTAGAGGTGGAGTGAAGTACTCTGCCACAGGATAGTACTAGTATCTGCCACTGCTACGCTGAGGCAGAGTTAATTAGTTTACTCTTGCCGAATAGCTCTGCTAGATGCTGATGTTTTACTGAGGAGCTAATTAGTCAACTCTTCAGTAAACATGTCATGTAGTCCCCCCCAGGGAGCTGAAACACTTAGGCCTAGAACTCACAAGCGTGTGGATCAGAGTTGCTGAATGATGTCTAATCCTACTGGAACCACATTCTTTTAGCTAGTGGCAGATGGAGGTGGGCATTCTTTACCACCATAGCCAACTTCGCTGGGGAATGTGACCTTGAAACTATGAATTAAAGTAGTGTTCTATTTTTGTAAATATGAGTTCTCATCTGTCTTGCTTTAGTTCTTCTCTTCTCTGTTGAAAGGAAAACATGACTTCAAGTTTGGAGTTTTCTTCATCAGTGGATAAAGATGTGGGGCTGGCTACATATCACTGTTTATGATGGGCTGTCTTATTTTGGGTTAGCATTGCACAACAGATGTTCTTTCAGCAACTGGGAATAACTGCATACCATAAAGAGATGTTATGGTTCCATTGCACATTCTTGATCATTGGCAATCTCAGGTTTTAAATATCCAGACAGTGGAAATGCATGCATGCCAAGCATGGTTGCAGATGCATTACATAACATTGAATTCCATTCCAGATGGGACTAGTACAGTCTCGTAAACCCTTCTTTCTCTGGAAGAGGAAATGGCTATACTTTGTAATATTAAACTATTGAATGTATGAGTTCAGAGTTGCTTAAGTCTTTCATTACTCAGTTTAGTTTCCTTTGTGTTCTTGGTATTGGGATGTATACTAGTGACAGTTACATCTTTTATACTGGTGTTTTCTTCTGGCACCACTGTTCAAATTCTACTAGAAGTCCTGTTGTGTTTACGAGGTAATACTATACCGTGTCACGTCTGCTTCTCTGCACACTTCATGTTTCAAAAGTGAACTGTTCTGAGTGCTTTTGACCTAGTGTCCTGGTCTTATTCCTTTCTTCCTACCGAGTAGCACCATCCAGCTTACACTTTTGTCCGGAAAGGAATCAGGTTGGACTGGAAACACTGATGTTAATGGCACAAAAGCATTTTGTATTGCTGCTAAGAAAATTGCTGCCTCATGCAGTAAATTGATGTGAGCCAAGATATGTAAAGAAGCAAAAATGATGAAGGCGGCAGTGTTAATTCATCCTACAGTCACCATTGTCAACCATGTTGGCATGTGGCATCCTAACAAGTGATTAGGATTGGTCTGCATCTTTTTCATATGATCATACGATTACTACCTCTCAACAATACCCCTCTTCCTCCCTTCCCACCTGTTAGGTATGTCAGCATCATAGCTATGGCCAAAGATAGGATTCAAAAAAGAGTTGGCATGATCTGGGAGCTAGAGCACTGTATTGGGAGTTGAGTACTTAATGAGTTCTGCCTCCTCCTTGCTTGCTGTTTGGTTCTAGGCAGGTTGCTTAACCTTTTTGCCCCATTTTCCTCATTTTATTGTATGCACAGAGTTTTATTCAATTCTGTGAGCCCTGGTCTAATTCCTTATAGAAATTGCCTTTCAAATATAAATGTTTATCAGCTGTTAAAAGATTAAATGAAAAATCACACTGTTTCTCTAGGCTTTGAAATAGGGAACACCATAGTGATATGATAACTGTCCATGAATTTTGAAATTAATAATAACATCTATATTATGGCTTTAGGACAGAACTGGGTATATCACTTATCACTTGCATAGCCTACTGCAGTGTGTTTGGCCCTCTCTTGAGGTTGTCATTTTTAAGAAGCATGGAAAACAGTGAGAGGTGTTAAAATGAATATCTGTCTTGGGTACAATATTTCATATGTTTGGGGCATTGTTAATAGGGCATTAATAATGGACGTTTTAGGAGGAGGGGCTGGTTTGTTAGAAAAGCTTTGTGGAAAATTTGCTCAGTTCTAGAGTGGGGCTTACAGGAGATCATGTTTGTAAGCTGAGCAAGAGGCTCTTCAAGGAAAGGGGTGTTTCCTCAGCTAGAAAAGCTGATTTTTAGCACTTGAGTTGAGAATTCTTCTGATGCAGAATTAGTTGCCATGAATCCCGGAGTGGGTAATCCTTGGAAAATCTCCAACGGATTCCACAGAAAATTAATTCTGTGATAAATAGAGCCCGCAGTGTTTTACTGATTAATAAGCTCCTTTTGTGCAACTTTACTTTAACTTGCCTTAAGTTGCTTGGCATGATGGATAGCTATGTAACCTGATTTGAATTTTTGTGTTGGACTGCTTAAAGGTTGCTTCTAAGAAAATAAACTCTATGACCCTCTAATAAATAGCTAAAGCAGCTATAAAGAAAACACTTTCTCGTTTACAGTAGACATGCCTATGGTAGATGACTACAGAAAATTAATTTTCAAGGGAGGAAAACCCCATAAGATCATTCCCCACAACTACTCCACCCCTTCTTAAGGTCACCTGGAGACGGACAGAAAACATCTTGTTTCATTTTCAATGCCGGATCTGTACTTGGCGCTCTCTAGTAGATGGCAGGTGCCACCACTGCGTTGTCTGAGCTTGTGCACACCCATGTAGTTCTGATGGCTCTACCACAACCTCTGGTGCCAGAGTGCAAAGTGCACCCTGGAAGGCACCGGTTGTTGAATGAACTGGGGCAGCTGGACAAAGGCATAGGTAATTTCTTTAGCTGGCTTTTGAGCAGTGATGAGTCTTACTCTATTCAGCAGAGGTAGAATATGTTGATTATTCACACAGTGTTGGAGGTTTATGACACCACACAGAGACTTTGAATGTGATTGCACTCAAATTTGGGCCAACAGAACTGGCACTTTTAGTTTGGCCATTTTAAGGGTTTTTTTAATCCATCCAATCTGAGTAACTTTATCAACCAACTTAATTTTAAAACTTCTGTTAGTTAACCTTGTTGTCACATTAAGCATTGCTTTATCCATTAGATCAGGGTTATCACATTTATCAGGTCCCACAGGCTGAATGAGTGGCATCGGGATGGTCTGTCCGCAGGCCAGATTGGGCCCACACACTGGGGCCAGTTTGGGGCGTGTGCAGCATGCAGGGCCAGTCCAGGGCAGTCTTGGTTCAGGGCTGGGGCTGGGCACTGGTTTTGTTTACTGGTAACCTTGGTTTTGATTGGAGATGAGAGGGGCATACCAGCAATGCAGTATGAGTACAGAATTAAGAGTAGAGTTAAAGAATCTCATAGCATGATCAGATCTCAGGTTGCAAACCTTCTTCCAAATTCTGCCTTGGGGCTTTAAGTATACAGTACCTGCTACAGTTACCATTTATCTAATCAAAAGACAAATGTTATAGCTCTTTAGCCTGGAAAAGTGCAGGCTCAG